TGGGTGTCCTCCTGGATCCACGGCTGACACTGGAAGATCATGTGTCGGCCGTGACCAGGGGGGCGTTTTATCAGGTTCGCCTGATCCACCAGTTGCGCCCTTTTCTGGACCGGGACGCTCTGCGCACAGTCACTCAGGCTCTCGTCACCTCCCGCCTGGACTACTGTAATGCTCTATACATGGGGCTCCCTGTGGGGAGTATCCGGAGACTGCAACTGGTCCAGAATGCGGCCGCGCGGGCGGTGTTGGGAGGGACTCGTCGCTCCCGTGTAACACCGCTGCTGCGCGAGCTGCACTGGTTACCAGTGGCTTTCCGGGTGCGCTTTAAGGTGTTAGTTACCACCTTTAAAGCGCTCCATGGCATCGGGCCTGGATATCTCCGAGACCGCCTTCTGCCACAGATCCCCTCCCATAGACCGGTACGCTCCCACAGAGCGGGCCTCCTCAGGGTGCCGTCGGCCAAGCAGTGTCGGCTGGCGACCCCCAGGGGGAGGGCCTTCTCTGTGGGTGCCCCCACCCTCTTGAACGAACTACCCCCCGAGATCCGGACGATTCCGGACCTCCTACCTTTTCGCCGCGCCCTCAAGACATGGCTTTTTCAACAAGCGGGTCTGGCCTAGGGAGAATGTTTAAATAGGGACAATTTTAATTTAAATCTTAATTAATTATACAGCGAAAAAAAAATATTTGGTTTTTAATAGGTTTTTATGGGGGGACGATGTTTTATGTGTTTTAATATGCTGTAAGCTGCCCTGAGTCCTATAGGGAGAAGGGCGGCATATAAATCCATGTAAATAAATAAATAAATAAATCTGTGTATATATGTGTTTTGGGAGATGGACAAAACCCTCTGATAATAACAAACAAAAAAGCCTTATTTAAAAATAAATGATTTGCCTGGAAAAAGCATGAAAATGAAATATTTATATGTGAAATTGTGTATGCAAGCAGTCTGAATGGAAGTGAATGTGTGAGTATGCTGGTGTGCAAATGTGTGTGTGTGTGTGTGAGAGAGAGTTCCCCATGCCACCCCAGGGTGTGGCAGAAACAGTAAATTGCAGATTTTGTTGTTGTTGTGAACTAAGTCAAAGGTGTTTGCATGAGAATCTGAAAAGAGAAAATTATTTTGTTGAAAGAATGCTGTAAGTGAGAGAAATTCAAAAGGGGCCAAGATACCTGTGCAATTTTTTAAAATTTTGTTCAGCTTTCTTGTTATCAGCTTGCTACGTTTTTTTTCTTTGCTCTGGAAGAGAGAGATGAAAAGGAGAGAAGGGGGGAGGTTTGGGGTTGATCATCTTAAAACTTTTTTTCTCTCTGATTAACTCTGGCCTGGAAGGTGGAGGGAAAGGAGAAAGGGGGGTGGGTGAAGTCTGAAATGGTAGTTTTTTGGCTTCTGTTCTAATTTTGCTCAGGGACAAAGAACAAAGTTAACTTGTTTAGCATGGCTTCTCGTCACAAATGTGTCATTTTGTTTCCCTGCTGCAGTTTGTGTTCAGAGCTTAGAAATGCAGAATCTGTAACATCCCGTCCCCTTCCCTTTTTCCCTGCAAATGTGTCCCTTTTGGTTTAAAGTTTTTGGGCTGGTTGCCAATGATTGTGTGTGTGCAAAAGGAAAGCAATGTG